AAAAATATTTAATAATTCATTTACAGTATTTGTTAAAAATAGTAGTAATTCATTAAAATAGAAAATTGGTATTTATTAAGTAACTATAAACAAAGAAAATAATAATAAACCCATAACATGTTAACATTATGGCAAATAATGATTTTTAAATGAAAAAAATGAAGTATTTGCTGAAATAATAACAACAAACTTAACAATATGGGTGTCACTGTTTTATATTTTTGCAAATACCTTTATCTGGCTTACCAGGAGACAGGTAGATCTTCGTGTCTGCTGCTGTGTTCAATGTATTGTGACATGCTCTGGCTGAAGTATGCAAGGAAGGTCCAGCCTCTCGTAGACTAGTTACTGTTGGGGAAAAGGAGGGTATTTTAATGCCTCTTTTAGGTACTTGTTATTCTTCTTTGATACCAGACCCAAACTGGACAGGTGGTAGTTTATTAAAGATTAGGACATGAATTCTGAAACCAACTTGATGAATTATATGAAATTTGCATGCTCTGTTGTAGTAAAATCTGTTGGCCTGTCTTGCACTTTTAACGGCTCTTCTACCCATATGTGAATTTGTGGCATCGAGTGTTCGTCACCTGGCAAATACCCCAGTTCAGAGTGATGCGGATCCAGATGTTGGCACGTTTTAGCACACCTTATCCAAAAAGCACCGTTGTCTACACTGCCGTCAGCTTCATCAGGAGAGTCTGTAGCTGTTGGGAATCCCAGGCTCACAGAGGAAGACACAGGTTTTCCAGAATCCTGATTTTTTGCTTGAAGGCTCAAATTTTTATCATTGACAACAAATACTGTCCATTGTTTACTTTGAAGCAGCCAGCTCACATCATCCATTCTCAAGAAAATGCCGTCAACAACTGAATAGTCTGTCCGTTGGTCATTCTTTCAAGTAAAAGTGGTATTTTAGGGACGCCTGGGTGGCTCAGTCGGTGAAGCATCTGCCTTCAGCTCAGGTCATGTCCTGGGGTCCTGGGATTGAGCCCCATGTCAGGCTCTGTGCTCAGCAGGGAGTCTGTTTCTCCCTCTGCCCCTCCCCCTGCTCATGCTTTTTTTCTCTCTCTCAAATAAAATCTTAAAAAAAAAAAAAGCGGTATTCCATAGAAAAAGTGGCTAGTTCAGCTTGTAACTCAAACAGTCGGTTGTGCAAGTGTTTTTGCTCTGGGCAGCCACTGTCTTTCATGGGGCAGTAGAGGGGCTAGCTATGAACTGTGCATTTCTTCATGTAGGATATTGAACATTTGTGTATTCAGGGTTAAGATTTAATAAAAGTAACTATTTGTACTCTTTTATCAACACATTTTAAAGTGAAACTGGATTTTTTTTTCCTGTGAGTGCATGATGGTAAGGGGTACTAGCAGAATTCGTTGTCGCTGCCTTGGCGCTAGCCAAGGTTCCAGCAGCTTTATCCATCTTGGCTTTTGGGCCATGGGTGCAAATTTCCACCCCCCCAAAAGGGCAAACAGTGCTTTAGTATAATGAAAGACCTCATTTTGACCTCACAGGTCCCCTGAAGGATCTCCGGGCCCTAGGATTCCATAGAACATATTTTGAGAATCACTGGTCTAGCTACACTGGGCTCTTCCTCTGCCCATGTGCCTGTTGGAGGTTGACTTATCTGAAATTATTGATATTTGAGCATTTTCCCCCTAATAAAAATGACGAATTCATATGGTTCAAACAGACTGTCTCCACATCTTTGCATATTCTGTTCTGCCTCCCTGGAGGGCCCTTTCCATCTGTTGAAATTCTGCTCCTTCAAGGTCTGGCTCCTAGACCCCCAAGTCTGTTGCTCACTTTCTCCCCTGAAATGCACATCACAGTCTCCCTTCGGCCAAGAGCTGTCTTGTCTGCTCATTGGCAAGTGTCTTGATGGCAGAAGACCAGCCATGTTTGTCTTTGTCCCCACGGGGTCTGGCAGGGCCCTGACTGCCCTGGTTGGAGGTGGAGGTGAGCTCTGGCTTCAGGCAGCCCTGGGCTGTGGAAGTTGTGTGGCTCCAGTACCCACCAAGGCAGAGGATCTGGGTGCTCACTTCACAACGGCGGCCTGATTCCCAGGAGGAGGCCAATCCTTGTCAAATCTGGACTCTTCTATCACAAGGAGTCCCTGGGGCATTTACCCCGGAAGCCAGCCACCAAGCAGTAAGGCGGGCCCGGCCTTGTGGGAGGCCACGTGCCGCTGTTCCAGCCAGCAACCCCACTCCTTGGCCCGAGCCCCGAACCTCAGGATTCCTGCCGCCCAGCCATCGGCAGATGCAGCATCAGAATTAAAGGCTGACCTGGCCTGTGGGTGTCTGACCGCTGGAGACCCACCTGGTGGGGAAGCCCGCACGGTTGGCGTCAGGAATGCTGTGAACAGAGGGACAGTCTTCCCAGAGTCACCTCGGTCACCCACACCTCCCCGGGGGAACGGATGCTTGCTACCACCTCCGGGCCTCATGAATTTGCTGCAATGAACAGGTCTCCGCTTCATTTGAGTCAGAAGCTGTCAAGTCGTTTCTTCTTTTCCTTCCTTTTGTCCTCCTTGACGTCATTCTCCTTTCTGAGAGATAAAAGAGTAGCTCCTGTACATCTGTGTTTGAGATGGGCTGCGCCCCGGACCTTGTTGAAGAGTGTAAACGCCGTTGTAGGGCCTCCTCTGGGCTCAGATAGTACCTCTGTAGAGCAGAACAGAAAAGGGCAGTTGGTGCATTTCCTTTGTCCCTGGAGATGTTGAAGAATTTTCGAATCTAAATTTCCAGGCAGAAGAGTCTTTTTGTGTTCAGATTTTGTTTTTAAGACCTGGTTTTACTGCAGGGTATCATGCAATGCTGCCTGTGTGATCTCTGAGTCTTGGGACTGGTTCAGCCCCGTGGCCCTGATCACCCCCGGCTGGCCCCTGCACGCCTTGGCCACAGGCCACAGCCTGGTCCCTCCTTAGGGCCGACACGCTTTTTGGCCTGGAGTCCAAAGGGAGGGCCTCACATTCCTCATGTTTGAAGAAGTGGCTTGTTCGCTCCCTCCTTCTCTCTATCCCCTGGCCGTCCCTCCCACGTGCCGCTCCCTGCTGGAGAGAACAAGGGCCAGGCCGCCTCCTTCCTGAGCTGCCATCCTGGTGGGTCTCTCCTCTTCCCCTCTCACACCCCGACGACGAGCCGGCAGTGCGGGACCAAGGCTGGAAGGGGTCAGGGAGCTTGGCCGAGGCCTGTGTGCCGCAGAGTCCCAGGGACAGGCAAGGGACCAGCCACATCTTCACCCCTGGGGACACAGGGCTGGACCATGGGGAGAGGGCCCTGGGCACGGGGCCGGGTGGGGAGGGTCACTGAACGTGGATTTTCCATACCAATCACGTTATATAAACAAGCAATCCAAAAACAAAACAAAAGAAAAAACTCAAGCTGTACATTTTATTTAAAGCCATCCCGGACAGATGCTGGGCAGTTGCAAATACTGATCCTCTCCTGAGGAAAATGCTTTCATTCTGGGTGTCAAATCACTCCTACAAATAGTTTCTGGAGGACAATGAGCTCCATACAAAAATAAACAAGCACACAAGGACAGAGGAACCATGAGCGAGACCCAGTAGGACCAGCAGACAGGCCCGCGAAGACCGGTTCCCAGTCACACTGTGTATCAGACACGGATTGCGGAGCGTGTACAAATTGTGCCCAAAGAAATAAAACACAAGCTTGAAAATACCTGCATGGGATTAGTGAGGGTCCTTTGGGACCTCTTGGGGAACAGAGTCACCAGACGGTGGGTTCCCCAGTGTCACGAAAAAACCTCATTCTAACACTTTCCTTTCCCTGAGCCTCCTGTATGATGCCAAGGCAGTTCCTGCCTCTCTGCGTCATTCACGGCAGGCCACTGATGTGGCCAAGCTTCCAGAAACGCATTAGGACCAGTCTCTGGTGTCCTTGCCAGGACTCTGGTCTCACGGCGTCCATCACAAGAGGATGCTCCTATGTCAAGGAATACCCCTTATCCTCTGGACGCTCCGCCCCAGCCCGCGGCCCCGCCCCTGGGTCCCTTCCCAGCTGGCTTTCCCCAGTCCCTGTGGGCGGGCACATATTTCCCGGACATGGCAACTCCTCCCTCGTATAAGCTAGTCCCCTTGGAGTAGAGACTGTATGTCCCCGCTTGGGTGTGCCTGGTCCTGACCCTGGTTGTTGGTCTGAAGGCATAAGGGTTGGTGAGGTGGGGGGCAGACCCCCCAGATGAGGGGAGGCTGCTCTCACTCCCGAGGCCACCGTCAACAAGTAGGCAAGGAGAGTCAGCTGGTGAGCAGCCTAGTTTCCCTGGAACATTCTACATGTGAATTCCGAGGGCTCCCAATGGGATGAGCCCTAGTTGCCAATGTGGGCACCCACTCAGCGGTGTACTTTGAATGGGTGCTGGACGTCAGGCTAGGATCTGATCCTACAGGTGGCAGAGCTGAAAATGTGACAGGTCTCTTACATCAAAGATGGAGCTCTGACAGGAACAGAGCGACTTTCAGAAACGGATGGGGATATTTGGAGGGATGAGCCTGAGAATCTTCAAGGCCACATTCCTGTGAGCCCTCTGAGCCTGCAGGAGCAAGGCTCCCCCTTCCCGGAGAGT